CAGCGGAGGACCAGTGACCCCAGGGGAGGACCAGTGACCCCGGGGAGGACCAGTGACCCCAGGGGAGGACCAGTGACCCCGGGGAGGACTAGTGACCCCAGGGGAGGACCAGCACCGTGGGAGGCTGTGCCCATGTTCCTGCATCTCCAGTCAAGGAAGTCGTGGACCTCCTTCCTCCTGATCCATGCCAGGTGTGCAAGACTGAGTGGTCTTGACATGGGCCAGGGAACAGGGCACATCCCCAGGCATAGTCCCAGCCAAGGACACCACTGTCAGCACAGACAGCACAGCTGAGCGGCCGGCACATGGAGTCACCTCTGGCCTTCAGGGCCCAGGTGAGCATCAAGGGGTGTCATCCGGGCCCTCCTCCACCTGAGATCACGTGGGTTCATCTGGCCCCACCTCCTCCACCTGGGACCTCCTGGGTGTCCTGAGGCCTGCCCATCTGACCCCAGTGAAGGGAAGCCTGCCCCCTCCTCGTCCTCAGGTGCCCAGGCATCAAGAGTCATGAGCGCACCCGCGCCTCTCTCCTCGGCCAGCCTGGGGTTTGAAGACGGAAGAGGGGACCTTTGTCCACATCCCCTGCTGTGGGGGCAGAAGGTGACAACTGGACTTGGTGGCCAGATGGGAGGGGCTCACACCTACCTTGGGTGCTGAGGCCGCACCTGCCTCCCACAGCAGCACAGCCACCAGGCTGGTGACCATGAGGACCCTGAGGGGGGCCAGAGAGGAAAGTGTGGGGCAGGGGAAGGGCCGAGACTGGCCATCAGTCCGGCCTCCCCTGAACTCCAGGCAGCACCCAATGGGCAGCTGGGAGGCCTGGGCTGGGTTCTTCCTTGGGAGGGCAAGTGGTTTTACTGGACTCTGCTCACATGGGCCAACACACAGGCACAGAGCGGGGAGAAGCCCCAGGCCCACCTGCCTCCAGCCCCGCTCAGGCCAGAGCCCACAGCCCCAGCCCCAGACCCTGCTCCCCACAGTCTGGGCGGACCCCACTGTGGCAGGCACTGGTGGTTGGCTCGGAAACTCCAGAGGTTCTGCCGCGCCTTTCTGCCGCCCTCCACGTGGGGACACGTGAACACACTTGCACACAGATTGGGGTATGGGAGGGTATGGCACAGCGGGGGCCCACAGCCCCACACCCACAGAGCCCTGAGGCTGCACACTGCTGCAGGCGGGCACCCGCTGTGTCCCAGAGCTGCGGGGCCACAGCTGGAGGGCTCAGGGGTGCATGGCAGCACTGTTAGGCAGGCAGGCAGGGTGTCAGGTCTGTTTGGACACGGGACATGTGTGTTTGTGTATGTGGTGTGGGGTGTGCATATATGTTGTATGTGCACATGTGTTTTGTGGGTGTGGACTATGTGCATGGTGGGTGTGCGTGTATGCTGTGGGTGGTGTGTTTGGGTGTGTGTGCACCGTGTGCTTGAGTGTGCGTGGTGGATGTGTATGTTGTGCATGGTGTGGAGTGTGTGGGTTTGGGAGTCCATGTGTTGTGTGTATGTTATGTGTGTTGTGTGTGTGATGGATGCATGTGTATGTTGTGTGTGGTGTGGAGTGTGTGGGCTTGGGTGTGTGTGTGTGCTGTGTGCGTGCGTGTGCCTGGTAGATATGCATGTATCTTCTGTGTGTTTGGGGAGTGTGTGTGGTGTGTGTGTAGTGGATGAATGTGTATGTTGTGTGTGGAGTGTGAGGGTTTGGGGATGTGTGCATGCGTGTGCTTGTGTGTGTATTGGATCCGTATGTTGTGTGTGGTGTGGAGCGTGAGGGTTTAGGGGTGTATGTGTGATGTGTGCATGCGTGTGTGCGTGTCTGTGTGTGTTGGATGCATATGTATGTTGTGTCTGGTGTGGAGCATGAGGGTTTGGGGTGGGCGTGTGCTGTGTGCATGTGTGTGTGTGCGTGCACGTGTGTGTGTGCGGGCATGTGTGTGTGCGGGTGTGTGTGTGGGCGTGTGTGTGCGCGGGCATGTGTGTGTGCGGGTGTGTGTGTGTGTGCGTGCGTATGTGGTGTGGTGTAGAGTGAGGGTTTGGGAGTGTGTGTGCGGGCGCGTGTGTGTGTGTGCGGGCGTGTGTGGTGTGGTGTAGAGGGTTTGGGAGTGTGTGTGTGCGGGTGTGTGTGCGTGTGTGTGTGTGCGTGTGTGTGTGCACGTGTGTGTGCATGTGTGTGTGTGCGGGTGTGTGTGCGCGGGTGTGTGTGGGCGTGTGTGTGTGCACGTGTGTGTGGGCGGGTGTGTGTGCACGTGTGTGCGGGCGTGGGTGGGCGTGTGTGGTGTGGTGTAGAGTGAGGGTTTGGGAGTGTGTGTGCGGGTGTGTGTGTGTGTGCGGGCGTGTGTGTGGGTGCGTGTGTGTGTGGGTGTGTGTGTGTGCGGGCGTGTGTGTGTGCAGGCGTGTGTGGTGTGGTGTAGAGTGAGGGTTTG